ATATATATATATATATATATATATATATATATATATATATATATTTATGTTGTTTGTATTGATTAGGCAATTGAATATTGACTTCATTTCATTTTCCACCATCTTACTTTTTGTAGGTCTTACCCATTGGTCTGATATGTTGTCAGTCTTTGTCCTTGAGAATCAACCAAAACAACATGAATTTTCAGATATCAATCTGAGCTTGTTAAAAATTATGAATATAGTAAAAAACAGTAGAGGAGAAAGTATAAAATGTGATTAATGTAATTTAGGGTGAAAAATATAAATGCATCAAGTTAAAAGAAACATTAAAATGTTTCATGAATCATTTTTGATGAATAGAAAAATGACAGTTTTAATGTTGCATAAAATTCATCATCATATCAGTGATGACCAGTTTTTACTTAAATAAATTGGGTCATATCTCTTCAAATGAATATATTATATACATATATATTTGTATACATATATATGTATTTATTGTTTTCCTATTTATCAAATGTTTATATTTTGATGAAAATTTCTTAGAATAATAATGTCTACTGATAATATTGTTTATAATTTTTACATATTTCAAGTGTGTTTGAAAGATTTGTATTTCTAATTTGTTAATAGCTACCTAAAAGTACACCTTATTATCATTTATTGAGCAGAGATTCAAAATGATATATTGAACATGTTATCCACAAATTGTGGCTATACTAAAATTTATTGGTAGATATACCTTTTAGCTTCTCAGGAAATATCCATTAACAAGGAATGTTACTAATCAGTTTTTTCAGAGTAGCCCAAGAGAGAATTCCTTAGGAGGCCTAAAAAAAAAGATAAGAAAATCAAAAACTTCTTTTCAAGCAAGGTAGGCTTTAGTAGACTCCAGCAATCAACTTGGAAATAAATTTTCAGAAAAGCATGATATAAAAATTTAGTTTGTTCAGACAATTTGTGTATAGCATGCATGTAGATATGGTGGCCCCTCTTTATACAAAAAAAAAAAAAGCTCAGTGAGTTAGAATGCTTTAGGAAAGACTGATCGGTATGCGAAATGCAAGCTAGATGTCAGGAGGCACTAAAGTGTGCAGTGGTGACACCCCAATTTTACGGCTCTTCAAGCAGTCAATTGCACAGTGAACCTAGGAGTCTGAGCTGGAAGCTGATAACAGAGTATCTGTAGTACTAAAGATCAGCCTTCATGAGCTGCCAGTCTGAAGTCTTCGGACAAAGGAAAAAAAACTTCAGAAATCACTTTGAAGGACTGTTCATCAAGGGTCTTAGACTGAGTGAACGTAGGTGGGAAACCTATTGTCCAAAGTCAACAGAAAGTACAGTCAATTCTCTATGTCCCATGGAGTGCAGGTTGGGTTGACTGAGGGTGACACAGATCTGTCATTCAGCCAGAACTTCTCAAATTTACAGGTTTCTATCTTGACAGTTTTGATTTTAGAAAATGATTCAGCCTATGTTCAATCTAGGGTGTTTTTTGTTTGTTTGCAAAAAGACCTAGAGACAACCTGAGAGGTACAGTTTTAAGCAAAATTACTTTAATGAGTGTCATCCAATTTTCAATGTTTCTCAGCAATTTTTGCAGTTTCTTACATTCTCTGCATATAATTTCTCAGGTACCTGTCACATCTTCCAAATTACAGAAGTACCAACTGAACATTGCAGTTTATGTATGTGATAAAATCCAGTAGAGCATAACGATATCTTTATATTTTAATGATTCTTTTTTTCACAGCAGGCTAACATTACTATTAACTAACTTAGAAACTGCCAGAGATTCCTCAGTGGCATTCTGGTTCTGTTTCCTGCATTCCCTTTATATAACATATTTCTCGCTATTATTCTATTCAGTATTATCCAAATATGTTTTACATGTTTGTTTCTATGTTGTAAAGCCCCAGCATCCTCTAAAGCTCAGTGTAAAT